AACCCAACCTTTTGCTGTCTCCAGGAAACACATTTAGCTACAAAAGATAAAAATAGGCTCAAAGTTAAAGGATGGAAAACAATCCTACAAGCAAATGGACCAAAAAAGAAAGCAGGAACAGCTATACTTATATCAGATAAAACAGATTTCAAACTCAAAAAGATAAAAAGAGACCCCAATGGTCACTACATTATGATCAAGGGGACAATACTTCAAGAAGAAATAACACTCATTAACATATACTCACCAAACGAAGGAGCACCAAAATATATCAGACAACTGTTGTCCTCTCTGAAAACAGACATCAGAGAAAACACATACGTAGTGGGAGACTTCAACACACCACTATCAACAATGGATAGATCAACAAGACAAAAAATAAGTAAAGAAACCAAAGCTCTAAATAAGGACCTAGAGCAATTGGGCTTAACAGACATCTATAGAACACTAAACCCAAAAAAACGGAGTACACATTTTTCTCAAGCTCACACGGATCATTCTCCAGGATCGATCACATACTGGGGCACAAGACAAACATCAACAGATACACCAAGATTGAAATCATATCAACCATCTTTTCTGACCATGAAGGCATCAAACTAGAAATAAACCATAAAAAGAAGGCAAGGAACTTTCCTACCTCATGGAGATTAAAAACCACACTACTGGAAGACCACTGGACTAATGAGGAGATCAAAGAAGAAATTAAAAAATTCTTTGAATTGAATGACAAGGAGGACACCAATATCCTAAATGTATGGGATGCAGCAAAAGCAGTAATAAGAGGAAAATATATAGCAATAGAAGCTCACATCAAGAAACAAGAAAGAACTCAAAGAAACAACCTAATCTCGAAGCTCAAAGATCTAGAAAAAGAACAACAAAAAAACCCCAAAACCAGTAGAAGAAAAGAAATAATAAAAACCAAAGCAGAAATAAATGAAATTGAAACTAAAAAAACAATCCAAAAGATCAATGAAACCAAAAGCTGGTTCTTTGAAAAAATCAATAAAATAGACAAACCCCTAGCCAGGCTCACAAAGGAAAAAAGGGAGAAAGCACAAATAAACAGGATCATCAATGAAAGAGGAGAAATCACAACGGACACAGCAGAAATCAAAAGAATAATCAGTAACTACTATGAACAGTTATATGGAAACAAGTTTAACAATCTAGAGGAGATGGACAAATTCCTACAACTCTACAATCACCCAAAGCTAGATAAAGAAGAAATAGAACACCTAAACAGACCAATTACAATTAGCGAAATTGAAATGGTAATCAAAAACCTCCCCAAAAACAAAAGCCCAGGACCTGATGGATTTACAAATGAATTCTACCAAACATTCAGAGACGAATTAGTGCCTATCCTTCACAAACTCTTCCAAAAAATTGAGAAGGAAGGGACAATACCAAACACGTTCTATGAAGCCAACATTACACTAATACCAAAACCGAACAAGGACAACACAAAAAAGGAAAACTACAGGCCAATCTCCCTAATGAACACTGATGCAAAAATCCTCAATAAAATTTTAGCCATCAGAATCCAACAATGTATCCATAAGATAATTCACCACGACCAAGTAGGATTCATTCCAGGGGCACAAGGATGGTTTAACATCCAAAAATCAATCAACGTTATCCAACACATCAACAAAAAGAAATATAAAAACCATATGATAATATCAATAGATGCTGAGAAAGCTTTCGACAAAGTGCAACACCCATTCATGATAAAAGCCCTTGAAATTCTTGGGATACAAGGAACATACCTCAACATCATAAAGGCCATCTATGACAAGCCAACAGCCAGTATCATTCTCAATGGTGAAAAGCTGAAAGCAATTCCATTAAGATCTGGAACAAGACAAGGATGTCCACTCTCACCACTGCTTTTCAATATAATACTGGAAGTCCTAGCCAGGGCAATAAGACAAGAGAAAGACATCCAAGGAATCCAAATAGGAAAAGAAGAAGTCAAACTATCACTATTTGCAGACGATATGATATTATACATAGAGAACCCCAAAAACTCCACAGAAAAGCTAATTCAACTCATCAATCAGTTCAGTAAAGTGGCAGGATACAAAATCAACACGCAAAAGTCAGTAGCCTTCCTATACACAAACAATAAATCTGAAGAAGAAGAAATCAAAAAAACCATCCCTTTTGTTATTGAAACAAAAAAAATCAAATATTTGGGAATAAATCTAACAAAAGAGGTAAAGGACCTATACAAAGAGAACTATAAAACACTGTTAAAAGAAATAGAAGAAGACACAAAGAAATGGAGAGACATCCCCTGCTCGTGGATTGGAAGAATAAACATTATTAAAATGGCCATTCTTCCAAAAGCAATATACAGATTCAATGCTATTCCAATCAAAATTTCAATGTCATTCTTCAAAGAAATAGAACAATTATTGATGAAATTCATATGGAATCACAAAAAACCCTGAATAGCCAAAGCTCTCCTGAAAAAAAAAGAAGGGAATGGAGGCATTACACTCCCAGACTTCAAACTCTACTACAAAGCCATAATCATCAAAACTGCATGGTATTGGAACAAGAACAGACATACAGACCAATGGAATCGAATAGAAAATCCAGAAATAAACCCACAGATTTATGGTCAACTAATCTTTGACAAAGGAGCAAAGACTATGCATTGGAGCAAAGAAAGTTTGTTCAATAAATGGTGCTGGGAAAACTGGGTCGCTACATGCAAAAGAATGAAGCTTGACCACTACCTCACACCATACACAAAAATCAACTCAAAATGGATTAAAGAACTAGACATAAGACCTGAAACCATAAAATATATAGAAGGAAATATAGGCGAAACACTACGTGATTTGCACATCAAAGACATCTTTACAGACACATCACCCAAAGCAGTGAGAGTGAAGGCAAAGATAAACAGCTGGGACTACATCAAATTAAAGAGCTTCTGCACAGCAAAAGAGACAATAACAAAAACAAAGAGAAACCCCACCAACTGGGAGAACATTTTTGCACCCAACACTAATGATAAAGGACTGATCACAAAAATCTGCAAAGAGCTGATGAGACTCAACAACAACAAAGAAAATAATCCAGTCAAAAAATGGGCAGAAGAGCTAAAAAGAAACTTCTCTGAAGAGGAAATGCAAATGGCCAACAGGCATATGAAAAAATGTTCAACATCACTTGCCATCAGGGAAATGCAAATCAAAACTACCATGAGATACCATCTTACACCAGTGAGAATGGCACATATTAAAAAAACTAGCAACAACAAATGCTGGCGAGGGTGTGGAGAAAAAGGAACTCTTCTGCACTGTTGGTGGGAGTGCAAACTGGTCCAACCACTGTGGAGAGCTGTGTGGAGATTTCTGGACCTACTAAACATAGAGCTTCCATATGATCCAGCAATTCCACTCCTAGGTATTTACCCAAAGGACACAGAAACATCAATTCCAAAGAACACCTGCACCCTATGTTTATAGCAGCACTGTTTACAATAGCTAAGCTTTGGAAACAACCCAAATGCCCAAAAATAGATGACTGGATCAAGAAGATGTGGTACATATATACCATGGAATATTACTCATCATTCAAAAAAGATAAACACATGCAATTTGCAGCAACATGGATGGCGCTGGAAGGGATCATGCTCAGCGAAATAAGCCAAAAAGAAAAAGAAAAATACCGGATGGTCTCACTCATAGCAGGAATCTAGAAAACTTAAATAAGGGACCAGGAAAATGAATAACTATAAGAAAGTGAAAATCAAAATCAACAAAAAACTATGAACCAGAGACACTTTTTTGGGGGGCGGGGGTGGGAGGGGAGGGATTGGGGTCAGAATGGGGGGCTGCAATTGTATGGGGAATATAACAATAAAATTTATTATTAAAAAAAAAATACATATGAGAAATACATTTTGGTCATCTGAATGACTAAATATATATACAATATTGTAATACCTGAAACTAACCTAATGTTATATATCAATTATACTTTTTAAAAAGTCAGTTGAGTTTAAATAACTTTAAAAAATCTCATACAAAGCAAATGCTTGTGATCATAGTTTACTGTTAATGAAACTGAGATGATAATGGATTTTACCTGCTATGTTGGGATTGTCTCTTGAGGTTCTAATAAAAAATGATGTAAGTTAAGTTTAAATATACATGAGTATATATTATATGCAATGCATACACATTGTACATGTATATGTCAACATAATATACATGTATTGGTATATAGTTATATGTGTATATGTACATATATGTAATGTTATGCCCATTTGAGATATTACTCTTGTTTTTCATGCTTTGATTGTCATCAGATTTTGAAAAGGAACTGTGCACAGCTCTCAGGCTCCACATAGAATTAATACCTTATTCTGCTAGTTAAGGAGTTGAATAGTAAACTTTGTATTGTAAATTTCTGATTTAGATGGTATGGAAGTTTCTTTTTTGTCCTTTATTTAAAATAATCCTGTATAGGGCCTCCCCGGTGGCGCAGTGGTTGAGCGCTGGGTTGCAAAGCTGCCCACAGCCTCTGCAGCTCCGGTTCGATCCCCGGCTGCTCCCCGGCCACCGGAGGAGGGTCCCACATGGTGCGCAGACCTCTCCTGCCGCCCACTGCTCCCCTCAGCAGTGTACTTCGGTCCTTCTGCCTGCTCTGCTCCCCGCTCTGGCTCTGGTGAATTCTCTCACCCTCCCGCGCTTCTGACTGTACCCAGTGCTTGTATAAATAAATAAATAAATCTTTAAAAAAATAAATAAATGAAATAATCCTGTCCATTGATAGATGTTAGCAAAGATGATCAAATCTTTCTAATAAGGAAGTACAGCAGTGCTTAGAAATTCAAGATAAGTTAACTTGGTTTTTTCGTCTGTTTCAAGTTATGTCGCTGAGCAGTTGACACATAGCAACAAATAAATGTATTGGCAACCATGTGCTTCCCTCTCCCATTTTGCAATGATTTTCCTTTTCTTTAATTTTAGGAAACAGATATTGATGACCGATATGGAGATTTGGATTCCAGAATAGATTCTGATATTCCAGAAATTCCACCATCCTCAGACAGAACCCCTGAGATCCTCAAGAAAGCTTTATCTGGTTTATCTTCAAGGTATGATTGGATGAGGATAAATGTTACGGGTGCACAAAATAAGCTATGAGGTTATACTGGTATGTGTAATTAATTTTACTTTTGTGAAGTATTGCTATTGGAACATCTAAAAAAGCAAATTCCAAATTTTTTGTTCCCTCTTTTTCAAATACCAGGCAGAAATAGGTAACTTTTCATTTTAACTGAATAAAATTACTAGTCAAAGCTCCACAGCTTTTTGCTCTTTTATATTTGTGCCAAATTTTAAATAATTTTATATTGCCCTCCATTATATGCTATAACAATATAAATTATACAATTTTTAAAAGCAAAATAATGTAAGCTTTTATCCAGATTAACATATGAAATTTTAAATGCTGGTATAGAAATAGTGTTTTTCCAAGTTTTTTGACTATAACACACATTTTACATCTCATCCAAAGGACATAAAAATGTACATTTTAACTGCTACAAAATAGGTTGGCAAAAAACCAATTCTGGGCATTACTATGTATTGATCCCCTGTTTTCTCTCTTTGATATTTGATACTGTTTTGTATTGTTGAACAAAAAATGCTGATTGTGACTTACTAAGGTGATTTTAATACCACTGGTTTAGTCTTATGTAGGAAATGAAATATAGGGGTTTCTGATTTTTTAATTTCTAGGGAATAACTTGACCTAAAGCAAAAGTTTTCTTATTTTTGACCAATAGAACAAACTTCTTGCTGTCCATTATTGAAAGCATGATTATTGTTTTAACTGTTCTTATTCCTGGTTGTTTTCATGACCTAGTTCACAAATATACCATTAATTTAAAATCTCATGAGATCTATCTCAAACCCCCGAGTTTTTTAATAATGGTTATTAAATAAGAATGATAATGTATATCATTTATGAGATTTCCCTTAATGATTAATATTTTTCTTCTGATACGAACTATCAAGAAGTAATAGTAGCTGATATTTATTCTGTGGTAGACACTGGTCTAGGTGCTTTACATGTATCCACTAATTTAATTTTCACAGCAACCCTGTAACATATATACAGTTAAATCTATTGTATACTAAGGAAACTGATACACAGATATATAGCAACAGTCACATAGTTAGTAATGATAGAATCATATTCTGAACCAGAAATTGTACTTTATTTATGAATGAATGAGTTTTTTTGTAAAAAAAAGTGAACAATATGAAATATGTGACCAGCTTCAGTCTTTTTAAGAAACTTCTCTATAAATACTAAGTGAATATTTCAAAATCTAATAAAGATAATCAGAATATGTTGAGGGCTCAGAGTTTCAATTACCTTGGAATTGTTAGATAATACAAAGACAGTAGCTTCCCTGTTTAAAACCTCAGGGTCTCAGATGCTGCCATTCTCTGTAGTTCAAGCCAGGCTCCAGTGTCAGGAACAAACATTGACATTGGCAGCACCCACCAAAGGACTCATTTCTGACATATGTAGTATCCTCTTTTCTAGAAGAGGTTCTTGATGATTTTGAGGCTGAGGATAAGTTCCAAAGGAGGAATAAATATGCTTCTGAGTTTCATTTATACAGGACAGGATTATTTGCAGGTTATGATTCTTTATTCCCATTTGACTAGCTCTGTGACAGCTCAGTTTCCTAATCCATTTATTAATCCCCAAAGAGTTAGATCTATACAACCAAATGTAATATATAGAGAGAAACCAGACAAAGGGCCATCTAAAGCCAAACTCAAAAACAAGCCCTGGAAAGCTGACTATAGAACTGAGGCATCAGATGGGAGGGGAGAAGGAGGGATGAGTACAAAGTGGGGGGAGGGAGAAGCACAATGGACTGTGGTGGTGACTTTGGGTGCTTTGGTGGTGGGCGAGCTATGGTAACTTCACCAGATGTGGTGGGGGAGGGTGTTCTTTACTTCCAAATTACAATGATTAAAATTAACATTACCTAAAAAAGGAAAAAACCCACAATGGAACCTTTTAACTATAGCATTTTTTAATTATTTAAATATTTTATTTAACTATAGCATTTTTCACTCTATACCCATTTCAAATTAGCCCAAAGCATACAGTCTTGTGAGAAATTTATGAGTCTGTAAAGAAATTCATGAGACTTTAGTTGTTTAAACAGTAGAGGAAAGCACAATTTGACGACTTCATGATTAACCTCAGAATCTTTGACTTAATGTTGTTGGCATTTAGATTTGAATGCAGGAATGACTTGATAAAAGGAATATTTGAGAATGAGTAATTTGTTAGAGTATATGGGCTATACAGGAGAGTTGTTGAAAGCAGCATTGATAAGCAATATTTGATAAGTGGATGAAGTCAATTAGTATTTTTTATAGGAAACAGAATGAGGATCTGTGCTCAGAATGCAGTGCATACGTTACCATACATTATTTTGAATTAAAATCTCTTATAATTTAAATGCTGTCATTTGAATTAATAGAAATCAGAGAATTCTTAAAGAAAATTACTGTGAGTATAGTATAGAATGAGCAAAAGTAGGGGGCAGCAATTTTAGATTCAGAAATCATCATCCATGTGTACGTGTTAGAATTTGGTTTTTTCAAAGCAGTTGCCAACATTTTTCATGACATTGTCACATAAAGAGTGATGCTATTTGTAAGATACGCTGGACATGCAGTGTGAGGCTCCTGGGGGTTGCCGGAGATGAGTTTCCAGCCCACGAGGAACCAGCCAGGCATACCTGCAGGGCATCTCTGCTCCAAAGGACCTGTCCCTAATCGAGGACAGCAGGCAGGCAGCATTCTGTGAGCAGTAGAAGGACGTGTCCATCAGTCTGGCTCTGCCTTTGGTGACTGACCTCCCTTTCACTGAGTGCCTCCTCCTTCACGAAGATCACAGGGCTCTCCAGTTTCAGTTCTGCATTATCCTTTCTTTACTTTTTCCTCATTGAAAAGCCATGCTCTCTTTCTATATCACATTAATGTCACTACTATTTTTATATACCACCCTACAGGACTAAACACCTTTTTTTTTTTTTAAACATTGATTTATTTATGCATACAAGAACTGGGTACAGGCCAGAGGTGTGGGGGTGAGAGGATTCACCAGAGACAGAGTGGGAGCAGAACAGGCAGACTGACTGAAATACACTGCTGAGGGGAGCAGCGGGTGAGACAGGACAGGTCTGCCATGCCATGTGGGTATCTCCCTGGCTGGCCAGGATTGAATCCGCACTGCAGAGGCTATGGACAGCTGCACTGCAGAGGCTGTGGATAGCTGCACTGCAGAGGCTGTGGACAGCTTCACAGCACTGCGCTCAACCACCTGTGCCACAAGCGACACCCTGATCCCCTTTTTTTTAATAGGACTTTTTACATCCAGCTTCTCCTCCCTCTCCTGGTGACCACTAGTGGGATGTGCTCAAACACACAGTGACCACCTTGCCTTGTGTCTCATCCTCAGTCATATTGAACAGAAGTTACTTTTCTTTCTTTAACTAACATAATTTTTAGATTGAATTTCGCTCTCAGTAGTGAATGAATGTTGCTAGGTTGGTTGGTGTTTTTGTTTTTGTTTTTTGGTGTTGGTTCTTATTACATAAAGTAAAAGTTGAGATTCTTAATGTATGGTTAGGACAATTCCATTAAGTATATCAACTCAGTGCTGAAACCAAACAAAAAACTAAGAACACATTAAATGCTAACTTTATAAACATTTTCTTTGTAGGTGGAAAAACTGGTGGATTCGTGGAATTCTTACTTTAACTATGATTTCATTGTTTTTCCTGATCATCTATATGGGATCGTTTATGCTGATGCTTCTTGTAAGTGTTTTACCTTTTCATAAACATCCCTTGCTTTATTTTCAGCATTGATACAATTTAAGTAATTTGAGCATGTCATAAAAAAGAAGGTAGTTTGAAGCTCAGTTATAGCAAATTTAGTTCCTTTGAGCATCTTCTAGTTCATGAAATGACCTAGGCCAATCTTTTCTACTTCAAGAATGGCTATTTAATATATTCAGTCAGCAGAGACCAAATACACACAATAGATATTTATCTTTTTGTCAGACATTTTCCAAACATTATATATGACAGAAACATGCACACACACATTCAGCATATATAATATAGCTAGATCACTAACTTCAAGGAACTCAGTCTAATGGCAGAGACATGTAAGTAACCATATGAGAATTGGAAATAGTGGAATAAATCTCTTGATAGACCTTTTAGAGAGAGCTCAATAAAAAAGTGTGTATCCCAATCTGAGAGCGACATAAAGGAACACTTCCAGAAGAGGTAAAGACAAAACTGAGTCCTGAAGAAAGGGCTGGAAGGGGAAGGCATGGAGGTAATAACAGAATGCGGTTCCTTGGAGGATCTACAAGTTGTGCAAGTAGAGCGTATTTAGGGATGAGACTCCAACCATTGTCAGAGTTTGGGATTTTATTGTTTTGGGGAAGCCTAACAAGTCATGAAGCCAGATGAGTCTTTTATGCTTCTAATTAATTCATCCAGCAAATGCTTCCAGGTAAACTCAAGACGCCAGTTCTGGGAAATGATCCACTGGTGCAGAGAAGTCACACCTGCCTCTGTCTTCTTGGAGCTTACTGGCTATACTTAAGAGCATCTGTTAGATATATAATGACAAACTGCAGCAAGTATTTGAAAGCAGTGGGTGCTAACAGAACAAATGGGAGCCAGGAGACTCCAGGGATACTGTGCCCAGAAGGCTGTGTCGGAGTCAGAGAGTTGAAGTGAGTTGCAGGGGGGACAGAGTGTCACAGCAGAGAATATCTGTGGATAAAAGCCTTGCTATCTAAAGGAGCATGAAGCATTTGAAGTCTAAAGTGTGAAGAAAAGTGCATTTGTTCAGCACTCATCAATCACTAGCTACTGAGCAGTGAGCTGCTCTTAGGGATATGTTAGGCATCCCTCTTTGTTATTATTTTTCTTTATCCCATCGCAGTTAACTTAGCATCTTCTGTATGCATCCCTCTGTTTTCTGGCTTCTCCTGCCCACTTAGAAGTCTGTTTATCTAGCTCACCTGTCTTCCCCTCCACCTTCATGCTCAGTCCTAGTCATAGTGATAACCTTATGGGCAATATGATATGGTTTTCATTTGATTTTATAAAAGAAAAAGATATGGAGTGAAATTAGACACAATTGAAAAGAAATTAACACCACACTTAAACAAAAACACTTGAAGCAGCTCTTTTAAGCCTGTTTAAGTCTTTCACTTTTTATCCTTGTTAATTTTGTACATCCTTGGGGGATATCACGATAATGAAAATGAATCAGAAATTACTACCTTTGTTCTGTTAATTTGCTGACATCTTAAAGAGTGTTTTCTTACAAAGGGAAAGTGAATAATGGATAGGACCAACTTAAGGTGAGGGCAGAACATGCTTTCCTAAGGTCAGGCATGCCGGTGTGAGCACTGCCAGGTGTGACTGGAGGGAAGCACCCAGCGTGCAGTCTTTTCACTCTGAGACTTTTGACACAGTTGAGGGCCTTGCGGCCCAGTGGATCCTCAGCCTCCTGGGATATGGGCATTTAAGGTGACGGTGTGCAGAGCACTTTTCGGTATAGCGGGGTAAGTGGGCAGCCTGAGGAAGAAAGGGTTGCATGATGGCAGGCAGCTCAGGACAGCTTTGCAAATGACAGGATCTTTGAACTGACCTTAAGGATCTTGCAGCATAGAGTAAGGTCTGTGACCCAAGGGCCAAATGGCTAAGATGTGTCAGGAAAGAACAGGTGATGTCCTGTTCCTGCTTTTAAGTTTGTTCCCTAGGACTTTTGAAACTGGAAAAATAATTAGGGATCAGATTCTGGATGAGCTTTAAAATGCTATGTGGAGGACCTCCCCGGTGGCGCAGTGGTTGAGCGCTGGGTTGCGAAGCTGCCCATAGCCTCTGCAGTGCTGGTTTGATTCCTGGCTGCTCCTGGACCACCAGGGGAGGGTCCCACTTGGCGCGCAGACCTCTCCTGCCTCCCGCTGCTCCCCTCAGCAGTGTACTTCGGTCCTTCTGCTTGTTCTGCTCCCCGCTCTAGCTCTGGTGAATTCTCTCACCTTCCCGCGCTTCTGACTGTACCCAGTGCTTGTATAAATAAATAAATAAATCTTAAAAAAAAAAATGCTATGTGGAGAAGTTTGGGATTTATTTATAAAGTTTTGGAAATATTGATGATCCTCTGAATTATTATTCCTCTTTAGAAGATAATTTTTATGTAAGACATTGAAAAACAGCAGAGTCTTAGGTACACTGACTCAGGTTGGTTTGGTAGACTTTGCTGTGAATAAGTCACATTGTTTGCCAAACTGAACTACTTAGTGTGGTATCTAGGTCCAGAATTAATGAAGAATGACTGTTTTATAACCACTCCATTTTGACAAAGTTCTGAACACTTGTAAAGACATCCTTGCCTATTCACTTTCTGATTTTTTTTTAAATGCAAATCACAAACACACTTAAGGTACTTGGAATTTTTTGTTCATCTTTTTATTGTAACAGGAAAATACCATTTTATGGCAAGTTATTTGCTTAGACTGGTGAATTTAGTCAGAGAAGAAAGTAAGAATATTAAAAATCCAGTTAAATAGATTTAAACTGTTTTTGCCTTTAAGTTTATTGCATATACATGCACACATGTGTTCATATGCATATGTATGTCTGTTATATTTCTATGAATTTATGTCTAGGGAACATGAATAAAGAACAGCACATTGTTGGTACTGAAGTGACAGTACTTCTGTGCATTTTAAAGTTTCATTCTGAGGCCTCCTCGGTGACCTAGGCTTCAGTCTCAGTACTGTCACTGCTTTGGCCTGAGTTCAATCCCCAGACAGGGAGCTAACCCACATATGGCGCAGCAGACCTCTCCTGTCTCGCCCACTGCTCTCCTCAGCAGTGTATTCAGTCGATTCGCCTGTTCTGCTCCCCACTCTGACTCTGGTGAATCCTCTTACCCCCATGCCTCTGGCCTACACCCCAGTGCTTCTACACACGCCAAAAAAAAAATAAAGTCTCATTCTGTTCATATCTCTAACTCACCCATTTATATCTCGAAAAGTACACATTATTACCTAGATTGCATTGCCTTATGATACCACACTCACAAATAGCTAACTCTAGAGAGTCTTATTAAAAACCTACTTCTAGGAAATGATAGCTATAATTTAAAAATGGAACTCATATTCATGTTCCAGTTTTTTTTTTTTTCCCCTTCAGCCTTCTATTTATAGTACTTTAATTGTTGTATTCACAGCTTGGAGTCACAGTCTAAGCGGTGGAGTCAATAACACATGTTTTGATTTAAAGGTAAATGTGGGGCTGGCTTTGGAAGCACCTACACTAAAATTGGAACAATCCAGAGAAGATTAGCATGGCCCCTGCACAGAGATGATATGCAAATTAGTGAAGCATTTCATATTTGAATAAATAAATAAGGCAGATATGAACATTTAAAAGATAACTATAAGAATTTTTCCTCCCTATCTTCTTGGAAATTCATATGTTAAATTTTTAGTTTACATTGTGTAATTGATTTTTGAATCCTGTATTTAATTTTTTCTCATTGTGAGATTTATGAAAGTGTATTAGGAGTACTTTGGAAAGTAGATAATTTTTTTAAAAATCACCCCAGTTCTATCATCAACCACCAAAAATCCAATTAATACAACCACTTAATATATTTTCTTTCATTCTCTTTACTTAGACCACAATTGTATCATAATGTGACTAAAATTTTACATTTTTTTAAAAGATTTATTTATTTATTTATTTATACAAGCACTGGTACAGTCAGAAGCACGGGAAGGTGAGAGATTTCACTAGAGCCAGAGCAGGGAGCAGAACAGGCAGAAGGACCGAAGTACACTGCTGAGGGGAGCAGCGGGCGGCAGGAGAGGTCTGCGAGCCATGTGGGACCCTCCTCCGGTGGCCGGGAACAGCAGAGGATCGAACCAGGGCTGCAGAGGCTGCGGGCAACTTCGCAACCCAGCGCTCAACCACTGCGCCACCAGGGAGGCCCCTACATCTTATTTTTTAAGCTCAATGTCATATCAGGTGCTTTGTGTTTCTCCACAGTCTTTACATCTATCAGCTTTAAACATTCATCTACTCAGTGGAAGGGAGTGCATCATAAGTTATTTAAACCATTGTGTTATTTTTAGATATTCAGATTGTGTTCTGGTTTTTCTTCATTGGAAATAACACAGTTCTGCACAGATTAGAAAGTAAAAACTTTTTCATATGCAGGATTATTCTCTGTAGGTAGATTCCCAAGGTAAAAATAAGCATTTTAATTTAGATTATCCCTAGGTTAAAACAGTTCAAAATCAGCATATCCATTTTGAACTTCTGTTCCATTCCAAGCCATCCTTCATAAGTATGTCTTTTTCCTAAGCCTTCTCTGGCATTATTCTATATTCTATGCTTTCTCTTATGTGCCCAATTCTTCAACCACTAAATCCAGTCAGTTGTATTGTGGTGTCTCTTAGGCCTTGTACTCCCCCGTCTGTCGCTGTTCTGGAGAGATGCTTCATCCAGACTCGCCTGGATGATGGTGTCATACCTGCCTTATTGCATCTATGCTCATTGACAGTACAGTTAGTTCTTTCCATCCCCATCATCCCCAAACACTCAACATCCGATCATGGCCTTTCACGATGAGTTGCACTCCTCTGTGCATGCCTTTGGCTTATTTCCTGTGATGCTGTGAAAATGCTCTTTTTCTCCACTTCTCACCCACACCTTTGTGTTCCAGAAACTGAACTACTTGTGGCACCACAGCCACTCCTACATAGGTTAACCTCCATTTCCCAACTCTTGCCACAGGTTGTCTGCCTGTGCTTTCATCCTTGTGGCTCCTTCTATGCTATATTGTAGAGGTGTGTGGCACCCTGACAAACTCGGCTCCCCTGGAACTGACACCCTTTACTGTTTCTCTGAATCCTCAATAACCAGTACAGAGCAGGCACTGACATACTGTTTTTTTCCTAAGGCTTTGTAACACATTAATCAGGGCAACAGTTTTATTACTATGCATTACTACTAGTATTCATGAATTGGAGTATCAATTTCTTTGTGATAACTGTTGGGAAACTAGGTTTGGGAAAGCTAGTTTGTGGAAATCTTAAAAAGAAATCCCACTCTATTTCCTTCGCAGAGTTTGGAAAGCTTTTGCTATAAAGGACCAGATGGTAGTAATTTAAGCATTAAGGAACCACTATGTCTCTGTCATATAATCTTTACTTTCTTGTGTGTTTAACTCTTTAAAAATATAAAGTGCATTCATAGCTTTAGGGCTGTGTAAAAGTGAGCCTTTGAGTGTACTCTCTGGAGATTGAAAAAGTGATTCTGTTTGCAAAGATTTTAATCTCTAAGTCCATGGAAATATGTGTTCAGCGTTTGCTCCTTGAGTCTTGGAATTGACTTAAATCAAGCCCTAGTAATAATGTTATATCTTTGGTAATAAACTTTATTCAGATTGGTGGATTAGAGTAGTTTGAGGACCACTAAATGGAGACCATCAAAAAGAAATTCATAAATACAAGCCCATTTACTTAGGCATGTATACAGAATACTGTTCAAAGAGAACTGCATAGTCTCAATTGACTGGTCAAAGTGGAGGTATTTGGAGAAGGCTGCCTATCATTTGCCAAGATAGCATAGCCTGGGGTGATCAGGGATGAATATAGCTTGCTATGGGAAAGTTAGCACCGCTAGGAGAATAAAAAGACTATGCCCAAACTCCTGGATCATTGGGTAAAGATGATTCAACCATTTGCCCCTCTAGTATCTTTATCCTTTTTAAGTATACTAGACCATATAATTAAAAACAAATATATGCAAGCAAAGTTTTACATATGATCATTTTTCTAAAGTATCTAAGAAACAAAATAGATGAAAACCTCAAGAAATAAAGAAGTAACAAGAGATAAAATCTAGTTAGCTGCCACCAACTAGACTATATCCCTCAAACTTTCCTCTACAATACTGTCTTCTACTCCAATAGGCTTGCCCAAACATTTTATGCTTTTTGTTTTGTTTTATTTTGTTTTTATTTATTTATGCATCCAAGAACTGGGGTGTAGGCAAGAGGTGCTGTAGGTAAGAGAATTCACCAGGGACAGAGTGGGGAGCAGAACAGGAGGATCTACTGAAATACACTGCTGAGGGGAGCAGCGAGTGAGACAGGAGAGGACTGCTGTGCCACGTGAGTTAGCTCCCTGGCTGGTGATCGAACTCATGCCGCAGTGGCTGGTGATAGCTTTATAGCGCCTGTGCCACCAGGGAGGCCCTGCCCAAACATTTTGAATAAAACATTGTTTTATTTATCCTTTTTTGACATCACTTGATTTTCTAGATGTTGACTATTGAATTTTGCTACTGACATTTAGAATAATCAAAATTGGACAGACTAAAGAGTTTTTGAATGCATATGACAATGTTACTTTATTAAATAAGCACAGATGTAATCATTGAGAAATGCATGTTAATGTTTTCCCTTGGTTTCAGGTTCTAGGCATCCAAGTGAAATGCTTCCATGAAATTATCACTATTGGATACAGAGTCTATCGTTCTTATGACCTTCCCTGGTTTAGGACACTGAGCTGGTAAGTAGCTTAAAACTGTTTCCGATATGAAAATCTGATTCTTTGCTAAAGTATGCAAAGGAACCATCCTAATCAGTCATGATCCACACTGTTGACCTTATAGATTGAGAAAGAGATTAAAGAAAAATGCCCCCTCCTTTGCTGTTCTGTTTTTTCCTACTCTTTAGGCATTGTGTTCTATGAAATACAAGGAGGGAGTTAGAGGGAAGAGGAAAACTCTGAGGAGCAGCAGAAAAGGGGGCAGGGTTAGTGTGTGAGACACCCTTGTAAATAGATAGCACCAGCATTGAAAAGCCCATGAAATAATGTACAGTAAGTCCTCAAATACTGTCATAGCAGATTCTTAGAAATTGAAACTTGAAGCAAAACAACCTATAGAGAGACTAGTTAGACAAATTGATGTAAATGAATTCTGTAGCAATGTAAATGTAAATGTAAATCAAAGTAAATGTAAATGTAAATCAATTCTATAGCACATCTGCTCCCAGAAACATCACCAAACTAATAAATAAAGACCCATAACACTTATAATATTATACAATAATTGTTTGAATTTATTCTTTTATTTTCCAATCCACATATTCCAGTTCAGGGTCTTGTTTGGTCAGAGTCTATGCTGGCAGCTCCAGGTGTGAGGCGGAAATCAACCCTGAGTAGAAGTCCCTTCCACTGCAGGGTGCTTTTACACACATACACACACATTCACACTTCAGACTGAGATAATGTAAACACAACAGTGAACCTCACATGTACATCTTTGGGATATGGGAGGGAACCCAATATCCCTAGAGAAAATCCACTTAGGACAATACAACCAAATAGTGACTATGCCTGGGAATTGATATTTTTCTTCTCAGTGTTATAATCAAACAACATTATTTGATGACCTGTTGTATACGTACAAATGCAGGAAAAATCAGTAAAAAAAATGCTGGATAATTTTAACATTTAGAGTTTTATAATCTCTTTTAAAATTGTTCAGGTATAATTCTTAGTTCTCAAGACCTGGATCAGGAAACATGATAATTATTCTAATTCGTCATGTCTTTTAATATAGTTGCTTGATTAATATCAACCAGAAAGTTTTGGTATCTTAAGACAACATGTATTTTGGGTCTAAAATAATAAAAAAATAGTTCCTTGATTTTGGTAATAGCTGATTTTTTATTCTAGCAAGTTTCTTCAGGAATGGGCAACATTCATGGGAAATATTAAGTAGATAAGTAGTTAGAGAATAATTCAAAGCTAAGCCTCACGGGATTGGTTATAGGTGCAGAAAAGAAAGACTGTAGGCGGGTATGTGTTCCAGTGATGGCGGAGGCTTCCTAGAGGGTGTGAGAAATAAGCTGACCTGACTCTTGAAAAATGAAGACCAGTTGAATGGAGAAGGGTATTTTGAGTCAGGGAAGCTGCACCAAGTAGATGTGACACAGAGGAGGGATGTGTCGCAGATGGTAAGGCACGGTGGTCCTTCCGAGCAGAAGGCACTGCCTTGGCAATGGGGGGCACAGAGTTGGGTGGGTGGGCTTACAGAGGCATCAGAGACAATTTCCATTGTAGGAGAATAGAAAAATGGAAATAAAAAATACATGCCCTTTATTTTGAGAACAGCAGGGTGTAATTCCATCTGTGAGACCAGAGGAATCGCCTCTATTCAGTTCCATCTTCTTTGCTCTCCCTGTTACCTAGGACCAGTCTCAAAGGTTGAGGCACAGAGGGACTGTAAGGCAGTGTTTCTCAGCCCTTTTTTCTGGTTCACACAAGCTGCCAACGGCAAATGCCATGGGTTCAACCTCTCCCTAGGGGAAAGGTGTATCAGACAGAGGAAAGACAGGTAATTTAAACAGTTTTAAAAATTTCCTCCTGGAGATTTTTGTCTTCTGCTGCTTCCTGCCTGCACCCTTAGGAATCACTGGAGCATTGAGAGGAGAGAGAAAGATGCTATTAAGTGTGGATGGTGAGGAAAGAGGTTGAATTACCTCTTCCTTCGCTCTCTGTTGATCTTCCTTAGGACAAGTGGGAATTTGGCTTAGAACCTCTACTCTTAAAAGTAATAGAGCTGTAGTCATTGGGAGTTTTCAATGTAAATTTAATAAATACCTATGTGTGTGTGGCATGGGTGGGGGAGTATATGTGTGGGTAAGAGAGAGAAGGATGGAGAGAGGGAGAGTTGGAGGGAAGGATTATAGATGTATAGTATTTTCTACATTGTTTCCTAATTATCTCCAGTAGATTTTAAGCTAATTAAAGATAAATTATAAGCAGTCATTTTTTGGTTGACTGATGAGTTTGAAATTAAATTTAAAACAGCAATGTAGTATTATGGTAAGTTGCGTTCTAAATTGGATTTCTGACTTTGGTTTTGATCTTTGTGTCATCATCGAATGTAGTGAATGGTTTTAAGTTGAGAAGAAAGCTTTAAATATAAAAAGGCTAATTGTTTTTAAATTACAGGTACTTTCTACTGTGTGTTAATTACTTTTTCTATGGAGAGACAGTAGCTGATTATTTTGCTACATTTGTTCAAAGAGAAGAGCAACTTCAGTTCCTCATTCGCTATCATAGATTTATATCATTTGCCCTCTATCTGGCAGGTAAGTTAAGGACACTATCCTGTTGCTATGTAGCTGTATATTTTCTATGTACATTTTTATTTATGTCATATAAATTCACAACATTCTTTGTTACATTTTAACCCAACTTCTCTTTTCAGTTGTGTCCCATGCATAAATATCTCTCTCTCATCTTAAAGAGCAGTTATTCTCTGCTGGTGGTTAAAAAATTATTTACTTAATAGAAGCCCCATATATTTGACTATTTTCTTTGCAAATTATAGTAAAAAACTTTTAAATATAATTTACAAAGAAAATTTCACATGTATATTGCTTTGTCCCTAGAAAATAGACTCATAAAATTGATGAGGGTACTTAGTTTTCCTGACATGTTTATTATATATTTATAATATATATGAGTATATATATTTGTTTATATTATGCCATGCCACACATTTTTATGATCTTAGACTAAGAATTTGATACTTCAGATAAAGTTCAAATTAACAGATTTATTTTCCATAAAATTTTACCAATTATTAAAAAAATCTCAGACATTGATTTAGACGTGCTTTTTTAAAAGTCTGATTGCTGATGTGAATCCTGGCTCTACCACTTACTAGCTGAATAAATATTTGGGGAATGTAATTAATTTCTCTGTGTCTCAACTTCTTTGTAAAGCACTTTGAGTAGTATCTGGCACTATTTAAATATTTGACTATTATCATTTCAATCTTAAAAGAGGAAATGAAATTTTCGAGTTTTCACTTTAACTTTTAATCCTTGTTTTAGCTCTTAGGAGTTTCTCTGTAAATTAGTTCTCCTTTAGTACAATTTTGGAACTGAATACAATATAAGTATATAACAGACTCCTTTCTCTTTCTCATTAAACTGAAAATACATGAAGTATTATAGAGAATTTTATCCAGTAATTATAATGTTGTTCTTCATGGTGTTTTTACTTTAGTCAGGCACCTTCAAATCCTGATCTTCAGATCGTTTTTGATTATAGAACACCAGAAAGTGAAACACAATCTGAAATGATAATAGTTTTTAGAGAAACATTTTTGCAGGCAGTAGGAATGGGATGCTACATTTTCTAACAAATTCCCTCTTTTACATTCAGTATTTTTGTTCAGTTTTGAGTGTATTCATTTAAAAAAATATATTACTTATGTACCTAAAGAAAGTACATTCTTGGAAAAAGATACTGAAAAGCACTTCTCTTCTTTTGCAGAGGTAATTCATTTTAAGTCATTCTGTTTTCAATGCTAATTAGTTTAGAAGAATTGTGATTATAGAGATCATGAATAGTTTCTCCCACTTTTTAAGCCAAAAATTTGATTTATTTTGATAAATGTAAGGTAGATTCTGGGGTGGATTCTTTACTGTCACAGGTGAGAAGAATATAGTATCTCCTCAGTTCACATGATACCTTCCAACTCACCCTTTTTAGTAACTGTTTCCTATACTAAACTTTATGATTCTTTAATAAAATAAAATCATTATTCCTTTTCTTACTGATTTTTGCCATAAAAATGGCTCACTGCTTGCTATTTCAAGCTCATAGAATCACAGAAATTCAGGGATAGTTATTAGTGTTTTTCCTTCAAATAAAAATTTGAGTGTTTTCCAAATCTCAGCACCATGAATAATGTTGAAAATACAAAGTATAAATAAGGTCTATAGTTTGCTTTATGGCACAATGAAACTGGTGAGACTTTTGTGCCCTAGTTGACTTCTGAAATATGCCAGAAGATCTCTAAAAGTATAAAGAAAGGGAAGGAGGCCCCTTGCTGTGCTAGAGCATGGGAAGGCTGCAGAAGGCGCTTGAGAAGAGATGACAGGAATCACGAAATGTAAAGAACAAGCAGGCACTGGCCTGTGGATAGTGGAAAGGGCATTCAGGCAGAGAAAACAGCTGCTCAGGGATTGCATGTTCTGGGCCTGTGACAGTCTTTAACGTTTGGCAAGCTGTGTCTTGAGAAGCTTTGTACATAATGAAAGGGTTTGGACTTATACCTGGGAAAACATGGGAGGATTTCAAGCTAGGAGATAATACAACCAGATTTGTAATTAAATGAATAACTTGGGAGACTAGATAGGAAATTAATGCTGCAATTCATAGTAAATAAAGTGAGGACCTGAGACATTTAGATTTGTATTTAACACCAAAAGTATTATAAATGGAAAAATAAAATTTTTTTTTATTGAGATAATTGTTTACTTACATGCAGTTATAAGAAATCCCTCATGTACTTTGCCCACATTCTAACAGTGGTAAAATTATAATCACACCAGAATATTGTCATTATAGTCTTACAAAAATATTTTTGAAATGTAACCTTATAAAATAGGAATGAATGGGTTAAATAATAAAACTTCCAATATAAATCACACATAGTGTTCTCTAGCTGTTATTTTATGTATGACCTAAACATGGTCCTAATAGACCATCAGCCAGCACTTTGTGTCTTTTATTTGTTTGGTAATCAGTTTCTTATACATGATCTGGCATTTGGTTTTCATACATATTTGTTAGATGAATGAATAATAAAGACTGAGAGCACTTTTACATGGTGCTGCTTAGGATCGGTGTTTTGTTCAGTTTTGAGCCTCTGCTTGTGACTTCTGAACTTGTCAGCGACCTTCAAGAGCTTTGCCTATCAAATGGAGGAGTTGGAAGTACAGATTATACTAGGTTGAGATATTTGTGCTTTTCTTTCAAACTCTGCTGTCAAAGTCTTTGGAATTCTTTGTTAAATATCCCACAGGTCCTGTCACAATTTTAGTTCTGTAGTCATCAAAAGACTTTTAAAGTACAGATGTTAGCAGATTTAAAAAGCAGAGAGATATGTATTTTCTTTTTTTTTATATATAAAGAACAATATATATTATAATTGCCTATAAACATATTTGCATATGCCATGTAACAGCAAAAAAAAAAAAAAAAAAGCAGAGAGCGCCCAAGTTAGTCCATTAATTTTCAATTTAATTAAAATAAATATGGGGATCTCTAGCTCTGACTCCCTCATCAAGAGTCATGAGATTACATGCAATTTGCAGCAACATGGATGGAGCTGGACAGGATCATGTTCAGCAAAATAAGCCAGAAAGAAAAAGAAAAATACCGGATGGTTTCACTCATAGCAGGAATTTAGAAAAACCTAAATAAGGGACCAGGAAAAAGACTAATTATAATAAAGAAAAAATCAAAATCAACAAGTAACTATAAACCAGAGGCACACTATGGTGGGGGGGCTGAGGGGGAGGGAGAGGAGAGAAGGGATTAGGGTCAAATAAGGGGGTGGAATTTTATGGGGATTATAACCAAAATGAAAATGCATACATTGTGCAAAAATGAAAAATGATGTAAGAATTATATAAAATAAAATTAAATTAAAATAAAAAAGTCATGATATTAAATGACATGTTTAATAGCATACAAAATGGCTTGCTTGCTGAGTAGGACCCGGAAGTCATTCTTATATTTAGAAAATTTTGTTTCAAAATGAATTTGACTGACAAAGTAAATATCTGTGAGACTAAAAATGATGAACATTTTCTCTAGGGCCTAATATATTTTTAAAAGATCTTGGTGATTTGGGTTTGGGGCTGTTTAGAAGCCAAGCAGCCATGCTAGTGTATGTCGCCTAATGAGTTTAAAATGTTTGACCCTACATGTCATCACCTTTAATATCTCGTCAGACAGAGAAATGCATATTATGTTTAGTGGGAGGGATTTTTCCTTGTATTTGTATATATATAACTATTTTGATCTCTCTTTAAAAACCCTTAAGGTGTGACTTGAACAATAATGTTCTGAATTCAGCAAAATTAGTGGAGATATATATTTAAAATTATAGCTAAAATTAATGCGTAATAATTTGCCATCCCCCCCCACTCCCTCCCCAAATGTACAAAGTTACTAAATAGAGTATGTTTTTTACACATTCAAACAATATAAGGGGCCTCCATGGTAGCATAGGGGTTAAGTCTCAGTGCTATCACCACCAGGGCCTGAGTTTGATCCCCAGCCAGGGAGCTGACCCACATGGTGCAGTAGACCTCTCCTGTCTCTCCCGCTGCTTCCCTCAGCAGTGTATTCCAGTAGATCTAGTCCTGTTCCCCATGCTGTCTCACTATATTTCACTTAACAATTTTTATTTAGGAGCATTTCATTGTTTAATAAATTTGTAGGATAGAAAACAAAATGCTGTTTGTAAACATTATATAATAAACATATTTTATTATAATTATACTTCTGAGAAATTTCAAGTCACAAACCACATCTTGCTCAAATGGTTTATAGAACTACATGACACTGGAGGGTCAGTAAGATTGGAGGCTTAACTACTCCTAGCTCTTTAATTGCCATTAAAATAAGTCTCATATATATTTTCTTAATCTGTACAACCTATCATAAGGTTGTTGGAGCCATTAAATAGTTAATACTTCTAAAATATCTAGACCAGCAACTGGGACATAATAAGTGTTCAATAGATAGTAGCTGCCATAATAATTATTAACTTTTGTATTTTGTGTATTTTGTATTTTGTGTATTTTTTGATCAATCAATACAACAAATCTTATTCAACCGAAATTCAAGATGTTTTTCCACATCCTTGTATCAATATTTATAAGAGACTAATTCATTTAATGCAGGGGGAAACTTACTGAAATTATGCCATGGAATATATTGGGACATTTTGGAGAAAACAAGATTTCCTTCAAGAAACTTTTGCTTAAAATGCTTAATATTTTAATAAGTTAATAAATGGTATAGTTATGATATAGAAGATTGATTTTATTTGTACTCAGTGAATCTCACACTTTGCACCAAATTGCATAACAAGTACATGTTTTTGTTCTTGAACAGGTTTCTGCATGTTTGTGCTGAGCTTGGTGAAGAAACATTATCGTCTGCAGTTTTATATGGTGTGTATTAACCAGTATTCTGTAGTCACTATCTATAGTTAAAGATCTTACCCTTAGTTTTTTTCTATAGTGAGAAGATATAATATTATCTGCTATTCGATGTCTTACCTAAATGTGAGGGGTATTTCAAATTTGGATAACTATCAAATACAAAAGTTATTTCACAATTCAGAAATTTTAAATGTTTTCAGTTTCCTAAAAACTTATTATTTCAATATTTCAATTAATTGCAGAAACTTTTAGAATTTCCATGGTATATTGGATAGTTAGTAGGTCTGAGAAACATCTACCATGTACTTCTATGGAAAGTAGCTGTTTACTTGTGCTTAGCCTGAGGATAAAGGAAGCAGAACACTTATTTTTTTATTTAGCAATGGTTAGTCATAGACTTGCATAATTCTTTTTGGCCTTTAATATTTTATTCTGCATATCCTTGAACAGTTTTTAGAATCTTACAAAATTTATCTCTGTACGTAATGAATTCACTTTTTCTTGCAAATGTTACTAATTATGAGACTATAAAATACAATGACTGTTTACATCTTATTTTAGATTAGGATATATTTCCTATTCTTTCTACTTTGCTTTACTTCATTAAGACAACTTGCAGCACATTATTGCTGGGAAATGGTAGTATTTCTTGATGTTTCTAATTTCTGAGGATCTCAGAGGAAAGTATAAAATTCTAAGTGAAAATCTAGAACCATCCAGACAAATTTGAAATAATAGAATTTCCTATGAAAATATAGATGGTCCCTATTGGGAAAAGAGTCATTTATGCATTTTGAAGCAGGAGGTAAAAGAAATTAGATCTTTTAAGCAGATTAAATTAAAATACCAATATAATAAATTGCTTGCCAAGATGGGAAATAAGTTTATTATGAAGAAATCAAAATACTAAGAATTTTGAAGTCATTTTATAAAATACAATTTATGAAACCTAATACATGGAAATGTTAGCTTTTCTTATTTATATTCTATTCATACTGATGATGCTAAAAATCACCAAAGTAGTTTTCTCTCAGGCTAGGTGAAATTGATGAAACAGGCCTTTGAAAATGAGAAATTGAATACTGTTATTGAACAGAGCTGTGAAGATCAACTTTCAAGTTAGAAAGGATGGAGTTTCAGAGCAATTGATCCCTGCTTATTTGATCTTTTGAAATTTTTGAAATAAATCTTTTTAGTATTTTTAATAACTGCAGGATGCAGCCAGCATAAAATGGTTTTGTAAATGCCACAATGATACCCAAAATTTCTCATTATGATTTTAATCTAATGACTCAAGGTTTTTGTTTTTTTAATTTAGTAGTCTAACTCAGTGTTATTAATATATCATTTGTGTGTAAATTATGATCAGTTCATTAATTTTTTTCCTGGTTTTAAGGTTCTAGTGGGCACCAAAATAAATATAATATTACTAATGACATTTAACTACCTGTGTTTCAAGCTTTGAACAAAAGTCATTCTAGAAGTTTGTTTCAACATTGCTGTTCCTTCCTGGGCTACACTGATCAGTCATGTTCACTAATTGTTGTGTTGTTGGGCTATTAACAGTTCGCATGGACCCATGTCACTTTACTGATAACAGTTACTCAGTCACATCTTGTCATCCAAAATCTGTTTGAAGGCATGATATGGTAAGGGGATGATACTGTGCTGCTTTATATTTATTATATTTATGTGTACATAGCACTTTTTTTTTAAGATTTATTTTATTTTTATGCATACAAGAGCTGGGGTATAGGCCAGAGATGCAGGGGGCTGAAAGGATTCACCAGAGACAGAGTGGGGAACAGAACAGGTAGATCAACTGAAATACACAGCTGAGAGGAGCAGCAGGTGCGTCAGGAGAGGTCTGCTGCACCATGTGGGTTGCTCCCTGGCCGGGGATCAAACTTGTGCTTGCAGTGGCTGGTGTTAGCTTCCTAGGTTGCGTCTTAACCACTTGTGCCACCAGGGAGGGCCAGTACATAGCACTTTTAAAGCTCTTTTACATTGGACCGTGTCTTAAATATATCTACTAAAACGTACTATTTGTCGTTGCTCTCATTCCATTAAAATACTCAGTTTTGCTTACTGTTTGATAACTACATACAAATACTTTATTAATAGCTGGAAACTTTCTTGTTAAGGTTCCAAATAAAATGCAGAAAGTTATGAAAGCCACAATTAATTGTTACTACACCTTAATGTGACTTATTACAAATCATTGACTTTAAAAAGTATTATTTCCATGAAATGCAAAAAGAACATGAAGTTTGCTTGCCAGCAGACAGGTACTGACAGTGTATTTTTCTAGGTGAAGGATGGGTAGGTTCTATTCTACACTGTCTTTATCTAGGAGTAATTACCAGATTTCTGATATACAGAATTAGTTGCTACGTAGTAGTAACTTGTAGGCTAAGAAAATATTTGTATTAGTTAAAATTTTAGCCTAAAATTAAAAAAAATACTGTTAGTTAAAAAGTACAATGGAGAAAAAACTAAGATTTTAAAAATCTGATCTTATGTTTTCCCTACTTTCTTTTAAAATCCATTCACTGAAGTCCTTTAAGGTTGATGGGTTTTGTCAAGATAAATATATCCTCTTACCAGCTGTGTGTGTGTGTGTGTGTGTGTGTGTGTGTGAATAATTGCAATCATTTTGAGACTGTCTTCCACATACACACTTTTAATTGATAAGGGACACCTACTGAAAGAAGAAGGATTCTACAATTACTAGTGTTTTAATGCAACTATAAGTTAAGATATAAAAATTAAAATTGATAATTTTCCTGAGGGAATTTGTATTAAGCTCTTGCTATAAATTTATCAATTATACTGTCTAAACTAATAACATTCTATTTTGAAAAGCTGCTTTTAAAAAGGGTCCTATTTAAGAGAATTTAAATTTTAAAATCTTTTATTTATTAGGAACTCTTATTCCTAACAACTGAAATTTAATAGTCCATATCTATAGAAATGATTTAATATTAAAATTAAATTTATTATTTAATATTTTCTTAGCAGTACTTTAGTTTACATATAGATTTTGCTATTTATTTATTCATTGGGCAAATGTGGCTGATATTTGTTGTCTCTACAAATGTTTTATCAAGTGTTATTTTCTAGACCAGACTGTGATTAATCCAAATGGTTATTACATTGATAGTGTGTCATAATCAGTATGAATATTTGTCATTTAATCATATGGACTTTATTCTGCTGACCTTTTTTTTTTTTTTAAGGTTCCTTGTCCCAATATCAAGTGTTATCTGCAATGACATAACTGCTTACCTTTTTGGATTTTTTTTTGGGAGAACTCCACTAATAAAGGTAATAGCAAAATATCACAGGTAAGCTACTGTCATAACATTTAAGATTAGCCACTGGAGCAAATGTCCAACAATTTTGTACCTTTATACATTGTTTGGATTCCAAGGCACTTTGATTTTCCCTAGCTGTACATAGCAACTGCAGTGTAGTGGTAGAAGGGCATACATCCCAAAATTCCATCTGGGTTCTTCATCAGATGCTCCTCTGACTCCTTAGTAGGGATTTGACTCTACCAGCTACCTCTCTCCCATGAAAGCTTTTCATCTTTCTATTATTTAATTTCCCTTAGCTATTATGTCATTCTTTATCCCATTGAAAAACCCTATAAACAAAACTTTTCTTTGGTTCTGCTCTCCCTTCAAGCCATCTCTTTGTTGATCCATTCATCTACCAAACTTTTTGAAAGTATACATTGCCATATCTCCACACATTCATGTCCATTGGTAAGACTTGTACATCCAAACTCACTAAAAAAATTTTTGACATCCAAAGAATAAAACATTGACAATGCAAGTTATAATGAAAAGTTATAATGAAAGATAAGAGAAAGGAAAAAACACACGAGCAGAATGTTTTGCCCTAGATTTGGTTTTCAGTCGGTGGAGACAAAAATGGAAATGAATTAAATTATACCATTCTCATTTGGAGACAGAATGAAACAAACCAACTTATGGTAAAACAAACCTTTTTCTCAAATTGATTTCTTTAAAAAAAAACACATTTCATATTGGGACTTTAGATAAAGACTCACTCAGTTTCATATATTGAGTAAAGTCTTTAATAATCCCATAAATATATTAATGGGCTATTTTGATGTTATTTTGTGAAGGCAGTTTCACAAAGGCTCTTCAGAATTCAGATATAAAATCTTCTGTTGTTCAGGGTGAGATGTCTGAACAGTCTGTCCTTCAAAAAAACCTTCCCTAAATCTGTCCCACATAGGAGTCCAGTACACAGAATCAGGCTCAACTCTAAGGGTACTTGCCGGCAAGCTGTGTATGCTTTAAAGTTTCTAAAGCTGCTTCATTACAAAAGCAAGTGATTAAATCTGTTCTATGCTGAGAAGTTTTTGTTTAGCTGTTTTAGGTGAGGCCATTACAACTTCAGAAGACTCTCATTGTCTGAATTTGAATATGGGTTAGTTGTATAATATTACCCAGATGTAAATAAGCAAATTAACTCCTACACAAAGAGGATCTGGTTCCCATTTAATTTGATAAGCTATTTTTAAAATAATCAGCAGGTACCCTTAATTTGAGTCAATTCCTACTTCTTTTTTTTTTAAGTTGAATTTTGTTTATATAGTTCTTCTATTTATTTTTATTTTAAAGATTTATTTATTTATACAAGAACCAGGGTACAGGCCAGAGGTGCGGGAGGGTGAGAGGATTCACCAGAGACAGAGCGGGGAACAGAACGGGAAGACTGACAAAATACACTGCTGAGGGGAGTAGTGGGCGAGACAGGAGAGGTCTGCTGCACCATGTGGGTTTCTCCCCTGCCGGCCAGGATCAAACTCGCGCTGCAGAGGCTGCTGACAGCTTCACAGTGTGGCACTCAACCACCTGCGCCACCAGGGAGGCCCAACTCCTATTTCTTGACAATAGTGAATTATCCCAGGAGAAGGTACACAGAAGGCCCTCCTTAATGGCGGAATTGTGATTAGATTGTCAGGAAACCATTTCTGCCCACATATTGAGTTTGGGGCTCTTTGAACATCAGGACAAGAGTTCTATAAAGAAAGAACTCATCTGTCTTTGTCCACCCTGTTCTATCCGCCTTAACTCTGATACTTACATTGTTTTATTCTCCATTGTTCCACTAAAAGGACCATCACGGGGATCATCAGTGATCTCCTGATAATAGATCCCCATAGACCCGTCTTTATGTTCTGCAGCACCCTCTCAGTCTTTTCCTTCTGCCCCTGCTTTACCAAATTCCAGACTTTCCTTCAGGTTTGTCTTCCTGAATCCTCCATTGTCTGAAAAGCAGTAGCCTGACTCTGACAAATGGTATCTATTCTTAGAAGCACAGCATGTGCCTTTCTTAAGGAGATAGGCATAGACTATGACCCAGCAGAGAATGCTGGATATGTAAGTGGAGCAAAGTTGGTGTCTGGGCCTGAGGGGTATTTTATCATTTCAGAAAGAGGTCTGTAGTTGTGTGACTTTAGGGGAGCGTGTGAAACTGGTAAACTGCAGTATTCATGTTTTGTTACACTCCGTCTATTTTTGGTTAGTAATAGGTCAGCATAGAACATGTGTACTTGAATATGTCTCCTTATTTCAAGAACTACACTATGAAGGGAATTTATATAAGCATAAAATTCATAGGACGATTATTTCAGTATAGAGTTTAAAAAAAATACAAATCATTGAGGCTGTATACAGAAACAGATATTCACAGTATAGCAAATGTTGGAGGACCTAATATGAGTTAGATATTACTAGAAATAAAAGCCCAGATAAATCGGGATCATGGAATGAAGGAAAGGGGGTGCAAAGCCATTCTAGTGAGAAAAAGTGAGCAGAAAAGTAAAAGGTATTGTGGGAATTTGAACAAAATTTGTATATATGTGTATTTTGTTAATGCAGTAACCTTAAAATTTTTATTTGGCCTTTTTTTAGTTGTCTCCTAAAAAGACGTGGGAAGGATTCATCGGTGGTTTCTTTTCCACAGTCGTGTTTGGATTCATTGTGAGTTTTACTGGGAATTTATTTTACTTACATTTTGAAAAATGGTAGCAAGTTTATTAGTCTATTGTAAAGCTAAAAGAAACCACAAAATGCTAATAATTCAATTACTGAAACTCACCAAACAGAACCTATTCTGTACTCTAGTAGCTCTCTTGCTGGCCTCAGATCTGAGTCACTTGGCGGGTGTAGGTAAAACCAGCCTCTCCCAGACAGTTCCAGGTTCCAGTCACTCCTCCAGGTGATCCTCATGTGAGCTAGGCTTGAGCCCCACTTCCATGCAGTTATGTTTACGAAGTTTCTAACAGCCTTGTGGTGGTCAGGGGCACTTGGATGGGTGGTATTTGAGCGATGTTAAGGAGCTGTGCCTCCACACACATCAGCTACTTGGCTTGGTGGGTCCTACTGCTGTGACCCCAGCTTGCATGGAAAATTGGTTAAAAATAATTGATGTTCATTTAAACGTAAATAATAGATATTGTCAGTGCTTTAAAAATTAGCTTATAGCTATGGAATCCAGGTTTTTATTAAAAAGTGTCTCATGAGAATTAAGAAAGTTACAATAAGATGACTATAAGCTAAATATACAATATAATTAATGTTAGGAAATTACACTTCTTAAGTCTAGTCCCTGACAGTTCTGGAATATTTCATATACCCAAATACAGAATAACTAGTAGCAATGTGAAGCTTTGAGAAGGAGAAAATGTAAAATAAATGGGAAACATGCCATGCTCCCAAATGGAAAAGCCACCATAATTCCTCTCTTTGATATACAAGTTTAGTTCATTCTCAAGAAAATTTGAGCAGAAGTTGATAAAATTATTCCACTGTTCATGTGGTAGAATATTGATGAGATAATAGTAAGTAAAATAGTAAAAGAGATCTGGTTCTGTCCAGTGTTTGTATATTACAAAGCATGGGTAACATTATTATTAAGTTAATAATACTGCAAGAGTTTGGTATTGTTAAAGACTAATTTGGAATTACAAAAGTAACCATATCATTGGAAGAAAATAAAGAGCTATCTTGAAAGAATGAAATGCAAGATGAAATAATAGTGAAGGAAATTATCTTTTCTAATAAATGATTTTGAGGAAACTGGAAGCAAAATCAGTTTATGCCTATTCCTGGTATCATAATTGCACTTCTGTTAACAGTTTTTGAGTAAATAATAGATGGGATGGCCGCATTGGAAAAGAAAGAGAATAAACTGTACTCTTGCAATTTAAATGTATAATAATATTTGTTTTATGAATCCATGACTCTGGACAACCAGTTAAAAAAAACTGCAATAATGTAATGTGGTTAGGCAAGATAATTTAATCAAAGTTTCCTGGGTTGGTTAAGAACAATTGGTATTTTTCACCTGTACTATTTTCAGAATAATTTTTAATCACTGGTTATTTATTAATTGGTGAAATTAACATAATCTTTATCCAAAGAACCTTAGCCCTATAATCTCCCATACATTTATAATTGTTAGTTTCTGCTAATATTATGTATATTTTAAAAAAGTAAAACCTTGATATACTGCTTCTCTAAATGTTCAAATCAGCTTCTTGTCTCTTTACCCTTTATAGATTGTGTTGATGCAAAAGATTTAAAAAGCCCCTTTGATTTTCCAATCACTCTTCCAAGTTTTTTACTGGGTCGGTATAACTTCAAATATACATAACAGAAAGTAAATGCAAAGAAATTTTGATATCCTATCTCTGGTCTTTCTGACATGTAACACACACACATATACACACACTTCCATTCAGTGTTTCATGAACTCTTGCTTTGTTATTCAGGCTGCTTACCTGCTATCCAAATACCAGTACTTTGTCTGCCCAGTGGAATACCGAAGCGATGTCAACTCCTTCGTTACGGAATGTGAACCCTCAGAGCTTTTCCAGCTTCAGAACTATTCACTTCCTCCTTTTCTAAAGGCAGTGTTGAGATGGGTAAGATAAATATGATTGGGTCCTTTAGATTTTCATTTAAAAGTAGAGTTAAGATTTTTTTTTTTCTTGGAAATTTTATCTTTGATTTTCTTTCTTTTTTTTTTTTTAAAATAATAAATTTTATTGTTATATTCCCCATACAATTGCAGCCCCCCATTCTGACCCCAATCCCTCCCCTCCCGCCCCCGCCCCCCTAAAAGTGTCTCTGGTTCATAGTTTTTTGTTGATTTTGATTTTCACTTTCTTAAAGTTATTCAAATGGCCAACAGGCATATGAAAAAATGTTCAACATCACTTGTCATCAGGGAAATGCAAATCAAAACTACCATGAGATACCATCTTACACCAGTGAGAATGGCACATATTAAAAAAACTAGCAACAACAAATGCTGGCGAGGGTGTGGAGAAAAAGGAACTCTTCTGCACTGTTGGTGGGAGTGCAAACTGGTCCAACCACTATGGAAAGCTGTGTGGAGATTTCTGGACCTACTAAACATAGAACTTCCATATGATCCAGCAATTCCACTCCTAGGTATTTACCCAAAAGACACAGAAACATCAATTCCAAAGAGCACCTGCACCCCTATGTTTACAGCAGCACTGTTTACAATAGCTAAGCTTTGGAAACAACCCAAATGCCCAAAAATAGATGACTGGATCAAGAAGATGTGGTACATATATACCATGGAATATTACTCATCATTCAAAAAAGATAAACACATGCAATTTGCAGCAACATGGATGGCGCTAGAAGGGATCATGCTCAGCAAAATAAGCCAAAAAGAAAAAGAAAAATACCGGATGGTCTCACTCATAACAGGAATCTAGAAAACTTAAATAAGGGACCAGGAAAAAGAGTTAAGATTTTTTAAGAAATTTATTTTTGCTGAATTTTTAACTTTACAATATAGAGGTGTTAAGCACGGTCAGCTTAACATCAATAATATATTTGATCCTCCAGTGATTCCTCTTCTTGAACATAAAATGACTATAACTGCTGCCATCAAGTTGTCTATTAGGGATTTACCTCCTAATGGTTTGAACACTGTTGTTAATTTATCTTGTATTTGTTTTGAAAACATCTTTCAATATTCCTTTAGTTTCTAGAAATGGAATGGGTTAAAGTGAGTTTCACATGTAACTGGGATTATTTACTCAATTTAAAACCAATTAAATTCACCAGTTCAAAGATTACTTGATTTTTTTAGGGAATGTTTACTATTAAAGAAAACTGCTGCTTCTGAAAATCAGTTTCCCTTCCAAAATCACATTTCTGTCATTTAAAGGCAATGTGAGGTTTGCCTCAGATGACTGTTCATTTACAGCTGTCTAGTTGAAACCTATTGATCTATGTATCAAGACTGGTGGGTAATTGGTTAAAGGGGGGGAGTTAAAAAATTTGCATATGTGCGTGCACATATACACACGTGTATTTTTTTTTTTTTGCTAAAATCCAAAATTTTTCAGAAGCAGGTTAAATAGTGAATTCTTTCTCTCCTTGAGTTAAATTCGTGAACTATAAGAATTTTTTCAATGTCAAAACCATCTATTACCTGCTATAAATACTTCTTGAGGTCTTTGATTACGGACAAGGCCATTGCTTTGAGAGTAGGTCCAAAGATTGATAGTCTTTCTCCGTGATCTTTCTAAAGCCATATCCATTATAGACTATTGTAGTTTCTGCAGTTTCTGTTTAAAGCCATATCCATTATAGACTGTTATAGTTTCTATCAATTACAAAATAATTTGCAGAAATCTCAGTGTTTATGATCTCCCTCCCTAAATCATTTATAATTGTCTTGTACTCATTTGGTAGTTTTTTAAAAACAACTTATACTTTCATGTGGTCCCACAGCATTTAGTTTTAAGAGAAAGACCAACTTTTCCTTCATTTACTCATATAAAATTAAAGTGAAATAAGATAAAAATAAAAGTACTTTATGTAATTACTAAAACAAAGTACTAGTGGTAAAAACAAAATCAGATATTAGCTCAATTAAGTTTTGGTAAGTCTACAACTCAATTGTTAGGCTATTTTCTAGGTTGCTTAGAAACTTCTTTATGAGCTTCAAGATTTTAGTGTGCTAGATGCTGTCAACGTGTTTACAGAGGAAATGGGGAGTGTTGGCTAAGTAGAGAATAATAATGAGAGTTTACGATATATTTTTCTCATGATCCTGAAAGTTTGTGAAATTAACAAAAATATGGTATATGTTCTGCCTTACTACTTGTCATAAAGTAAGATTACTATTATTACTGTGGATGGCATGCTCAAGTAGTTTTCATGTGGTGAACCCCAACCCTTTCCCACCTTTTTTTCTCCTTTAGGAAACAGTGAGTTTGTATCCTTTCCAGATACACAGCATTGCTCTTTCAACTTTTGCATCGTTGATTGGTCCTTTTGGAGGCTTTTTTGCCAGTGGATTCAAAAGAGCTTTCAAAATCAAGGTGATATATTTTGAAACTTTGTCATGTTATTAGAGGATGTAATTCAAGATTATCATACAGTTGGAATTTTGTTTGGTTGATTTCATACATTAAGCCCTTAGGCAAAAACCTTTATACCTATTTGTTTCAGCCTCATGGAACTGAAATCTTGGCTAATTTTGAGTGTATTCTTTCTTACTGTAAGGTTTGATCATACCATACTGATGAATTCTAAAGGGCCATGTAGAAATGGCATGTGCCACTAATTGTTGGAACATACACAGAATCTTGGTCTGCTGAGTGTTTAATAATCTAGCCATGAATTATCTAAAATTTAGTTCCTTGCTACAGTCTCATCTAAAGGGACATGTAAGATAACTTTGCATATTTAACTGTCCATTCAGCTAGATAAGAGTCAGCAAACTCTTTGTATAAGGAACAAAGCATCCATTTATTAATCACACTGCAGTTACTCAATGTGAATTATGCCTTTGTAGTATGGAAGTCCTTAAGGGGACTTGGTCAGAGATTGGGGGTAGCTGGGCCTTAATGAAACTATTTTCAAAAATAGGCAGTGGCTAGATCTGATCTGTGGGACATAGTTTCCTGTCACCTGTCTCAGATACTTACAGTTCTCCCTGTGCTTTAAGTTAGAGTTTCATAACATGAAATATATTTGCCCTGTTTTCTCAGCATCCCTCACATTGCTTCACCAAGTTAAGATTAAACATAACACTAGCACTTACAGCGTGATTGCTAAAGGTTGCAAGGTCAAGGCAGGCTTTTCTGAGGAGGTGACATTGGGAGCAGGGATCTGAGAAAAGGAGGAAAATGAGTCCTGCAGAGAAATCTAAGGAAGGGAGTTCCAGTGAGTGCAGAGGAGTGGAGGAGCTTAACCTGTGTAAAGAGGAGCAAAACAGTGTGGCTGAGGTAGAATAGGAGATGGGACTGCGCTGGGCCCAGAGGCCAGGAAAACTAATTAATGAACTCAGTGGGCTCTTGAAATGGGAGGGAAACTCTGTTAGGTGGGATATAGTATACAACAAGGTGGAGGGTGTTGTTTCTGTTCTCTAGACACTCACCACCTACAAGGAGAGATAATACATGTCCACAGGGAGCCACACACAACCATGTGTGATGAGTGTCCTATAAAGTTGCACACAGGAGAGTGGTATTTAGTCACCATGGCTCTTAGGCTTTGGCTAGCAGGGAAGAGAAGTGGAAGTGTGTTGGCAAACATTAAAGAGTTGTTCAATATTTGTTATAAACAGAGAAATGTCATATTTTAGAATGGTGTTTCTTAAATGGCTTGCAGTCTAAAATCTCTTGTTGATTGTTTTCGGCATTTTGTTTTGAAATGAAAACATAATTGTTATTGCATTTTAGATGTTTTTAGGCTGCCTGGGTAAACTTGGAAGCGCAAAATCAGTTTCCATTTTCTAGACGCTCAGACATGTGGAGCTATCTACATGGAGTCCATCTGCAGAGGCTTACTAACCATTCCTTCAATTTGGCCATTTAAGGGACTAACATGTCCCCAATGAAACAATCTATTGTCCTCTTCTTTTTACACATACATTTTAAAGAAGAAATTCTTATCATAGTAGTAAAATGTTTATTTTAGTGTAAGGACTTTCAGGAGTAGTAAGAGTCAGAGCCAGTTGTGCATCTGTCAACAACAATAAAATAGCTCACCAAATAGTTTTTGATTAAATAGAAGAGTAAGTAGGCTACCACAAGATCAGATTAATAATAGCTGGTGGATTTAGGAGTTTTGTTAACTGAAAGAATTTGGTGCTAGATTCAGTTAATTTTAATTCATGTTTTTGAATGTTGAGGCTCAATTCAGTAATCATTCTAACATGGACATATTTTTAGATCTGTTGGTCATGTTCTAATATGTTTGTATTTAGTGGGAAAATACAGTAGTAAAGTATTTATCTTAGAGTTCATGATGCCAGAGACATTTACAGGTAGGAGGTTTTCTTTTTCTTTTTTTTTCTAGAAACTTTGCTAATATGTTTATTTGTTTCTGAAGGATTTTGCAAACACCATTCCTGGACATGGTGGGATAATGGACAGATTTGATTGTCAGTATTTGATGGCAACATTTGTTCATGTGTACATCACAAGTTTTATAAGGTACTTTTACTTTTTTAATGGTTTATTAGATAATTTGAGTTTTTATTCCCATAGGCATTAGCTTGAATGAGTTACTGTAGATTACCGTTGAAAAGAAAATGTATTAAGGGGAATGGAGAGCCCTGAAGTTGTGTCACATGGAATCCTGAATGTTGTGGTTAAATTATAATTGTTTTACATACATTTGAATAATTGAAAAAACAATAGTGCATGGTACTTAACAGGGCTGTGTTAAAGATCCAGTTATGGCCAATTGCACTGGATTTGGCACATCAGGAGTTGTAATATCTCGACTACGGATATTGCAGTAAATACTAAGAGTTAAAAGTGGGGAGGGGGACACAATAATTCATCCAGCCTACTAATTATTGCTTCAGTGCTTGCTAAGTGTTGGAGAATGTTCTAGATATAGAGCTTACATTCGTCAGAGGGAGCAGGAGCAGAAGACAATAAACAAATTAATACAACTTTTAGGTGGTAACAAGTGCCATGCAGAAAAATAAAGCAGGCCAGGGGATAGTAGGTATGTGTAGGGGCTGGGGAGGTGGTGTGAGGTGAGTGGAGGGATGTTAGTTACTATTTTATATAAGGTGGTTTATTACTGTTATTCAATCTTAATGTTTTGGATCTGCCTTAAGATGCCACTTTGTGGTGTGAAGAGCTACCATCATCAATTACATGTTAACTTTATTTTCCATGGTCTGCTAGTGCCAGAGTCATAGAAAATTTCTATGTTCCTCATAAGTTTAGAGTGAAATGCATATATACATCCCTAAATATGCATTTCAAATATATGCCTCTAGCAGTGTAAGAGCTTTTATATTAACTTATTTTCTTGGATATTCCTATTGGGGTTTATATGTTTCATTGTAATTTACAAAGAATCAAATCCAAGTTTGTTAAACTTCCTCTATTTTGTATGTTTTTTCTCTTTCACCCATGTGCTATTGTATATTTCATCAATTTCATTGAGCCCCACTCATCTTTCATTTCTTCATCTTTAGTTTGAATTTGCCCTTTAAGCTTCTTAAAACAGCTTAGCTTATTGATTTTCAGCCTTGTCTATTTTTTTTTTCTGACCCCAATCCCTCCCCTCCCACCCCCCAAAAAGTGTCTCTGGTTCATAGTTTTTTGTTGATTTTGATTTTCACTTTCTTATCGTTACTCATTTTCCTGGTCCCTTATTTAAGTTTTCTAGATTCCTGCTGTGAGTGAGACCATCCGGTATTTTTCTTTTTCTTTCTGTCAGCCTTGTCTATTATATCCATATAAGACTGTAAATTTCCTCTAAAGTACCACTTTATTTTCATTTTATAGATTTGTATTTTTATTATTCAGTCACAGATAAGTTGATTTCCCTATTATCTGTTCTTTGACACATGGAATATTTAGAAGTGTATCGTTAGGTTTCCAAACAGACATTTTCTCATCCTTCTTCCTTTATTAATTATTGCCTTAATTAATAGAGTATGTTTCCAGAAAAATACTTTCTTGTTTCAGTATTCAGTATTTGTTGAGATTTATCTTATGCCCCAGTATATCGTCTCTTCAGATACTTGTTCCATGTGCACCTGTAATGAATGTGCATTCTGAAGCTTATGGATATTTTAACATACATCAATTACATGAAGTTTAGCTAAGTTCTCTGTATTGAATTTTTGGTTTGTTTTTTTCTGTCTACCTGTTCTATCTATTATAAAGAGAACTTTTGTCTAAATCTCCCATTATGATGGTAAATATACATATCATTCCTATTTTTAATTCTGTCAGTTTGCTTTATATATTTTGAAGTTGATTAAGTTGATCCAGTTCTGTCATATCTGTTAAATTAATCCTTTTGTTTCATTACATAATATCCATCTTTATTAACTACTTGCTTAAAATTTATTTTCTTGGATCCTAGAAAAGCTATATTAATTTTCTTTTGGTTAGTATTTGTATGGTATTTCTTTGTCTATCCTTTTATTTTTAGCATTGCTTTATCATATTTAAAATTTCTTTTTTTTCCCTCTCACAAGCATATAGCTTTGTTTTTTGTTATTCAATATTTGCCTTTTTAATTGGAATATTTCCATTTACATATGATTTGTTTACTGATGTACTTCAGCATTAGTAATTAGTGGTAAAATCAACTGATCAGAAAATAGCTGTTTTTAGGGCATAAACACTTACTTTATTTTGAATCTACTGTTTTCTTCTCTAGAGAGAAGTCATACTGTGAGCCTTGGTATCCACCATTTGAAAGCAAATATTTATACTATTAAAAATACCATAATAGTGCCAGGAGGCAACTCTTTGCCAAGAGCACTTATTGACATAATTTTGCATTTAGCTGAACTTGCTAGAAGAGGTTCCTTTTCTCTGTGTGCCCCTACTCTGAATTTATGTTACGAAGTTGCTGAATCCTTTGAAAACAAGCTAAAATAAGTATTGTCCTGACTTGAGTAGACTTTCACTCTAAGAGACATATGGCCATAGATTTTTGGCAGAAGAGTTGAGCTCTTCAGTTTTTTAAAGGAAAGATATTCAGGAGAGTTCAAGATGACACAGTAGAAAAACCTGGGTTTATCTCTTCATGTGGATACTCTAAATATATAGCTACATATGCAACAGTTCCCTATTAAAAGGATTTGAAAATAAGCTGACCAGCTCCTCAGTAATCCAAAGATAAAAAGAACACATCAAAATGGGTAGAGGAGGCAAAGATACAGTCTCTCTTAGAACCCTCCCCCCATGCACTCCTCACCCCAACCCCAATGCAGAAACCCACAATTAGGAGGGTTTCACAGTTATGGAGCTTCCTCCCAAGCAGTGAGCAGTTCATACTTCACATCCAGTATGACAACCTTTGAAACCTGCAGAGGAGGTACAAGCCCACCCAAACATCCAGATTTGAAAACCAACAGGGCTTCTGAAAGGATACCTGAGAGGGGGTGGGCAACAAAGGGTTCTCTTAAAGGGCAAGTTCATAGAAAAGCACCTAGATCACAAAGGAGATTCACTAGTTAATTTTGAAGTGTCTGCATGGTGTGAGGGCAAGGATATATAAGAAGTTTCTCTAGGGATGAAGGTATCAGCAAGAACCATTTTTGTGCTTCTGCAATACCTTACTAGAGCCACAGCTGGAGGGGCCATGAGACTTGCCATGGCCCACCATGCCAGACTCATTTAAACACAGATATCTTGTCATGTGCTCTGCTTCTCTTCATCCCCCACCAGCACTGCTGGAACAACAGCAGTCTCAGGGAATGTAGACTGAGGGACGATATCTTTGTCCCCACTTTACTCTAACTGCAGCTCACTAGTATCTTCCAGAAATGAAATCATACACTTATCTAGAACCATTATTGTTGCTGTCCCTAAGGAGACATCTTTATATTAACTTGTCTGGAGACTAGCAGGGGTTATAACTGTGGTGCCACAGAACTGTTCATATTGACATAATTTAAAAACTAATACCTGAGATTCTGGCCTCCAGTCAACCTGAGACTGGTTGCTAAAAGAGATCCCTTCCCCTTGGAACACGGATCTTGGTACACCCTCAACAGCAGGGGCCCATCAAGAATAAATCAGGCTGCCTTAACATTCATAAAAATTTGAGAAACAGGCAATAACCAGGACAAAGTTGAATGTTAAGATTCAACCCTACAAAATGCTAGCCTTTCAAGACTGGGAGAACCATCTCTTTTGCTTAGTCATAGAAATAAACACTGAAAATCAACAAAATGAAGAAACACAGGAATGTGTTCCAAATAAAAGACAAAACAAAGCCTCCCCAAAAGATACAATGAAACAGATATACAACCTGACACAGAATTCAGAATAATGTTCATAAAGATGTTCACTGAAGTTTGGATAAGAATGGATGAAGACACCAAAGAATTAATAGCTGAAAACTTCCCAGAGCTAGGAGAGGAATTGAATGTACAAGTTCATGAACAGAATACCTGATTATCTCAATGCAAAGAGAACAACACCTACACATGTTAGTGAATCTATCAATAGTCCTAGATAAAGAACAGTTGTTAAAGGTGGCTAAGGGAAAAAGGCAGTTAACATAAGAAGATACGCCTATCAGGTTATCTTCAGACTTCTCAATAGAAACTCTACAGGACAGGAAATAGTGGAATGACATTCAAAATACTCAAAGATAAAAGCAACTACCAATCAGAAATCCTTTATCCAAGAAAACTCTCAAATAAGAGGAAGAAATAAAGGCTTTCCCAGGCAAATAGAACCTGGAGAAACTTCTATTACAAGGGAAAAAAAGAGCAAAATATTTTACATGCAAGGGAATGCCCTCCCCCTGCACATACACACAAAAGACTATTAGCAATTATTGGCAAACCTGCAGACCAGAAGAAAGTAGCATGATATATTCAAAGTGTGGAAGGAAAAACTTAAAATTCTGAATACTCTACCATGGTTATCTCTCAAAGCAGCAGGAAAAAGTTATCCAGATAAACAAAAACTAAGAGCTCATCATCACTAAATTGGCCTCAGAACAAATATTAAAGGGAAAGCTGTAAGCTAAAGAGAAATGACAGTAATTAGTAACAACAACAACAACAAAATGATAGAAGAATTCAAATTTCAATAAATTCACAAAGACTGAAATTATATCAAGCTTTTGCCAACACAATGGTTGAAACTAGAAGTGAATAAGAGTAAAAAATTGAAAAAAATCACAAAAATGTGGAAATTAAAAAACAAGATGCTAAACAAACATTGACTATATGACCAAATCAAAGAAGAAAGTATTGGTAACATGATGAAAATATAAGTTACCAAAATCTATGGGCTGCAGCAAAATTGGTTCTAAAAGGGGAGCACAGACCAATACAGAAAACATGAAAAAAATTCTCAAATAAACAATCTAACTTTACAGCTGAAAGAACTAGAAAAAGAATAAATAAAGCCCAGAGGGAATTAAAAGAAGGGTATAATAAATTTCAGAGTAGGAAAAAAATATTAAAAAACAATAGAAATGGTCAGTGATACTATCAGCTGGTTCTTTGACAAAAATAAAATTGATAAGCCTTTATTTAGAGTCACAAAAAATAGTGTACTCAGTCAAAAATGTTACAACTGCTATCATAGAAACAAAAGGTCATTACAGACTAATAGATCAATAATACCCATATAACAAAAAAATTTGACAACCTAGAATAAAATGGATAAATCTTTAGAAGCATGTATTTTCTGAGGCTGACTAATGACTAAAAAATCTGAATAGTCTGAAAAGACTAGTAAAGAGATTGAAACAGTAGTAAAAAAAAAAAAAAAAAAAAAAACAAAATAAAAACCTTGAACCAGATGACTTCACTGGGAAAGTCTACCAAATATTCAAAGATTTAATAATTATACTCAAGAGCTACTTCAAAATTGATTTTATAAGGCATTACACTAATACTAAAACCAGAGAAGTACATTACAAAAAAAGTTATAGGCCAATATCCCAGATGAGCATAAATGCAAAAATCCTCAACAAAATATTCATAAACTGAATTCAATAGTATATTAAAATGATCCTGCACCTTGATTGACTAGGATTTATTCCAAGGATACAAGAATGGTTCAACATATGCAAATCAGTAAAATAATAATCCACATCAACAAAGTGGAGGATAAAAATCATACAATCATTTTAATAGATGCAGAAAAATTCAATACCCCTCTTAAATTTGAAAAATTCAATATCCATTTATGCTTTAAAATGCTCAAAGTGGGTATAGAGGGAACATGCCTCAACATCTCAAAGGCCATATTTTAAGAATATAGAGCTAATAACTTCATACTCAACTGTAAAAAAGCTGAAAGTTTTTATCTCTAAGACCAGGAAAGGTGCTTGCCCTCATCACTTCAGTCAGCCTAACAATGGAAAGTCCTCAGAGCAATTAATTAGGTAAGAGAAATAAATAGGATCCAAGTTGGAAAACTGCCACTCTTTATAGATGACATGGAAAATCTAAGGACACCACCAAGGAACAGTTAGAACTGATAAATGAATTTAGTAAATTTACAGGACATAAAATCAATATACAAAAATGAGTAGTGTTCCTATACACAAACAATGAGGTAGCAGAAAGAGAAATTAAGAAAACAATCCCATTTACTGTAGCATCAAAAAGAATGAAATACTTAGGAATAAATTTGACTAGGTAGGTAAATGGCCTATACACTATAAACTGTAAGACATTGATAGGAATTAAGAAGACACAAAGAAAAGAGAATCTGTGCTTATCATTGCAAGCATTATTATTGTTAAAATATCCACACTCACAAAGCAATCTAGAATCAGTGCAATCCCTATCAAAACACCAAAAGCATTAGAATTTTAAAATAAGCAATAGTAAAATTTGTATGGAACTGCAAATGTCCAAAGAGCCAGAGCAATGTTGGGAAAGAAGTAGCGCTGGAGGCATCACATTTCTTGATTTCAAACAATACTACAGAGCTATAGGAATCAAACAGTATGTTATTGCCACCAAAACAGGCACAGAGATCAATGGAATAGAGTCCAGAAGTAAACCCACACATATATATTCAATTTATTTATGAGGGCAAGAAATGACAGACTTTTCAATAAATGGTAGAAAACAGGTCAGCCACATGCAAAAGAAGGAAAGTGGACCACAGCCTTACAGCGCACACACAGATTAACACAAATGTATCAAAGATTTGAATGTTAAGTCCTGAAATCTAAAAGCCCTAGAGGAAAACTTAGGCAATACACTCCTTGATATTCATCTTGGCAATGAGATGATTTTTTTGGACTTAACTCCAAAAGCAAAGGCAACTAAAGGCAAAAATGAGCTAATGTGATTATCTATAGCTTCTGTACCTTGAGGAAATCATCAACAAAACAAAAGACCGCCTATCCAGTGGGAGAAGGTATTTTCAAGTCACCCGTTGGGTAAGGTGGCAGGGTAGGCGTCCTTTCCAGGAAGTTTCTGACCTGGAGTGTGCCACTGAAGGGGGCAGGACAAACTCAGGAGCAGGATGTTGGGGGGCTTGCCCAGAGGGAGTGGCCTGAGGAGAAGCCCCACCCCAGCTATGGAAATGTGTTTTGGAGGGGCGGATGGTGTGTACCTGGCATCACTGCCCCTTCAGTTCTCCTGGACTTGTTTCTTCCCCATTGATGCCAAGGAGGGCAGAGTTCACCTCCTCTCTTCCCTTCTTGCAACCAGAGCACTTTTGTCTACTGTTTTAGGGTTTGCCTAAAACTTTCTTTGAGCAAAGTCTCAGGCACCTTTTGTAAATTCCAGACAGGCCCCTCAGTGCTTGGTTCATGACTTTTGTGTCCTTTGTCTTGACCAGTCCTAGTTCCCCAGGGGTATTGCTTCAACAAAGTATCTTCCACTGTCCGAAGTTTCTTTGAGGGCCAAAATTTAAGTTCTGTTCTCATGACCTCTGTTTTGGTTTAGCCTCATCTACCGGCAATTTTACTCCTTTCTTTACAGGTTAGTTTTTGTATCTTTTCCAATCTCAGGATTTGTTATTACTCCCTACTTTGTGAGAATCTGTGGAACTTAGACCTGCCTTCTGTTGTTGCTCTGTTTTGTGTTTCTGCCTTCCTTCCACAGTTGGGCTGTGTATCCCTTGATACAGAATCCTGCTGGGGTTTTTGTCCCTTTAACACTAACCCTAGGCCTTGACATGAACTGATCAAGACTGTGAATTCTGTAAAGCTTGCTGCCGCCCTACTTAAATGCATGATTCCTTTTAACCGGCAGGTTCCTGCTTCCTTCAGCTCTCTTAAAGTTGCATGAACTTTGTCTTTTCTGTTTTGTTGTCAGGGGTCCAAATCCCAGCAAAGTGCTACAACAGTTGTTGGTGCTTCAGCCAGAACAGCAGTTAAATATATATAAAACCCTGAAGACTCATCTCATTGAGAAAGGAATCCTACAGCCTACCTTGAAGGTATAACTGGACCAAGAGATGGGAAGGACTGGCAATAAGGAATTCTGCAGAAAAGCACTGACAGATGAAAATTTGTAATTGTACAGAAAAATGGTTGAAAATGCAATAGATTGAAGTTTTACAGACATGAATGTTTCTTCTCTGAAATTACTGTGAATATTTAACAAACACTTACTTGATCTAAGTTATGAAATAAGTAGCAAATTGTCAGCAAAATCTCCTGTACTTTTTCCAAAGTGTATTTTCTGATGTTGATTTCCTTCCCTTTACTTGCTAGGTTTCATAATTTAAAAGACTCGTGTTTCACAAAGTCAAATACTATAAAATGAGTAAATTGAGGTTGTCTTAAGGTTGCACCTGGCAGTGTGCCCTTTGCACAAATATTTACTTTTGCACTTGGAGCTGCTATTGTAATTTTAGCAAAATGTTTTATGTAAGGCACAATAGGAAGTTAGTTCTTCTGCACTTCCTCCTCTTTTAGCCTGAAGTATTTGCAGAAGGGCTGAGTTGGAGCCAAAAAAAAAAAAAAAAAAAGATTGTTCTACTTTTCAAAGAAGTAATCATTTGTCAGGAGAAAATATTCCATTTTTAGGGTAAAATTCAGGAAGAGAGGCTGAAATTTCTACCACTATTGGCTGGCTAGAGAAAGCAGATATCAAACTCTCCTGATAAAATTGCTTGGAAAAACATGACCTCGAAAAAACTTTTCAAGAGAAACAAAGGAGAATTCTGCTGTGGAGAACACAGTGCACGCCTCCCCCACCCGACTCAGACCAGCTCAGCAGGTGACGGTGGCTCCAGGGGGCCCAGGCGCAGCAGGAGGCGGTGAGCTGGGTGTGCGGCCCCGCCCGTCTTGCTCGAGCTCTCGGCGTCGCCTGCTTCCCTGCGAACTGATTCTGTACATGTGCCGAACATGGGCCTGTGAACGTGTCCTGTGACCAGGAGCAGTGAGACACACGTAGAAGGTAGTGAGGAGGGGTGGTGACTGCAGGAGAGGGGTGCTAGGTGAGCAGGGCTATCCGTCCTCCGCCGAGGCTCTGTTGCCCGCACCCTGGTTGTCAACTCAGGCTTCCCCAAGGGAGCCGAAGAGCTGACTGGGCACTCACCTGAGAAGGACGATCTGCCTGGAGACCCAACCCTTGGCTCACTCCGTGGTCGCGGCTAACCTTTTTCCCATACCTCTTTCACATCATGTCATAAAATCTGAGGACATCAGCTGATTTTTTTTTTTCCTTCCAAGAATGAAAATCAAGCAGAAGTGATTCTCACCAAGAACAAAAAGCACACAAATGCCAAACTTTTTCTTTGGTGGACTGGACACTGTAACCAGATGAGAAAATAAATTTCTTATCAATGAATGTAAATAAGCTACTGTTGCCGTGTGCTTTGTACAACCATATTTATTGTACTGAAAGTCCGCACTAAACCTTTGAAAATTACCAGTGTTCTTGGCTAAATGTTCAGAGAGGAGAAATAGCTATATTTTAAAGAATGTTTTGCTAATGAAAGAGTAAATATTTTTGTTTAAATCAGAAACAAATTTCAATTATTTTATATTTCTGTTCTATTATACCTAAAATAAAAGATTGTAGCCTGGATCCCACGAATGTAATCTATAACTAGAAGCCTCATCATGTGCCACGTGGTCATGGTAAATAGAGTTAAATACAGCACCAAGAGGAATTTCTTGGCCTGGCAGATATTCAGCCAATTCATTGCCACTCAATGTGTTATTGTTAGCATTAGCTCACACTTTTCCCTAATAGCCTAGAAATAACATTGGAAAGACTTTACAGGAGGGAATGGTTATGTTTAAAAGCAGCCTACTTGTTAATTTCAGTATCTCATTATTATTTGCCTCATTAGGTGCTCCACATGTTGGCCAGGAAAGGATTTAGCTTACCAAAGTTGAAGAAATAAAATGAAAAATTTTTAATAGAAACTTACTGTTGAAAACCCAGTGATTTGGACAAGAACTCCTTGGAGATACACAGCTCCCTCCACATTTTTCTTTAAAGTAGTTGATGAAGCATTGCACTACAGAATTATGAGAGAGCATTACTGAATACATGTATTGTACAATCATTATGAACAAAATTTGAAGCTAGAAATATCTGGTTACAGTAATAACTTTCCTCAAACACATATATACTTTTAGAGTTGGGTGTACATTATTCTATATGTAAAAAAGTAAATTCTTAGTTTTAACAACTCTAAAGATTGACCTTTTTAGAGTACTTTTATAGCATGTATATTAAAATAGAATATATTTTAGCAAAAAGATTGCCATAAAGACCTGACTTTGATCATTTTTATATTTGCATTGTGAAGAGTACCTACATTCTAGTGTAGTGGTGTGGTGGCAGAAAAATGAAAGTAGGAACTCCCCTCACAGTAATAACTAATTGTTCCAAATTTGCTATTTTAAGGGCATTCTAATGGTACTTATTGCTTGGCTTTTTAACTAGTGGGTTGCAAATATTTCCTCAGTGCTTTTCCTCTTGTGGTGGTCCATGTACATTTACTGTAGGAGAATGACAAGACCACAGATACACATCTCCCCACCCCACCCCGCCCCCTTTATAGTATCTCTTTGTACTTTGGTTTGAACAAAGATAGTATCACCTTGTTCAGTGGAAAAGTAAAAGTAAAACTATATGTTCTGTATGGGCAGGAGACAGATTATAATCTGTGTCAGTTTCCTGAATCTTTTACTGAAACTGAGATAGGAAAATAAAACTGGAACAAATAACATTTTGACTTTGTCGTGCTATTTTCTCACTGGAGAATAAACATCCATTCAACTAATGTTTACAAAATAATGATGGATATATATATATAAATCTTTCAAATTAGGTATAAACCACACTGGTACCTGTAGTGACATCCTCAGGGGCGAGGATATGATATTCTGGTAATGATGGACCATGGTTGTCAAGAAGTGATACGCTTTAATAGAATGGATCCCGAATGTCTAAGATACATTCCCCAGTTTGTAATTACAGTTTTTAAATCCCCATGATTAACACTGTATAAGTGGTATTGGCTTTCAGGCCTGTGTGCCCAGTCTAGCTGGTACTGACACACCTTATGCCCTAAGCTTCTGAACAAATGAATGGGCTTTGAAATCTGACCACCCAACTTTGTTCCTTGGGCAACCCCTCCCCACCCATTCTGGTTTTCATTTTGTGTGCCTCTAAGAGGGGCTCCACTATTCCAAGTTATGAGGGTGGTTTTAAAGATTAAATAAAAACTGGCAGTGCTGTGACTTGTGTCCAGCATGAAGGAGCTGACGAGTAACCCTGAATTTTCTTCCTATCTGCACCTCCTTGCTGCCCAGCTCCAGCGAGAAGTGGTCATTGGGTAGGATTGAGCAGAAAGTAACCATATACTTGCCACATGTGATTTAGGTGATGCTAATGAAAGTCTTCCTTGAACGGCAGCCTTTCAGTTCACTTCAGCAAACCTGGATGTCTGTGCTTTTTTCTGGCACCAAGAAAAGCATTGGAACTAGTAATTTTCTGCTAGTCACGGAGATGGGTCAAGACAGATAAATGCCATACTTGGTGGATGTTGATAAGGGCGGACAAATTCATCAACCAGGTGCAGGGAAAAGCAGAGACCACATTTCTGACCTCCATGAAGGAGTTATCTGTCCTGCAGATAGTCCAAGGCCAGATCTCTCTACCCACCCTTGAAACTAAGAGTTTAAAATTCACTCTTTAGGGAGGGGCTGTATTTGGGAATCTGTGTGGTAGCTGTAAATAAAAAAAGTTTCGAACAATTAAATTCGAAGCCTGCCCTACCTTAATCCTGCTGTTTTCCTTTTCCTGTGCAGAGGGGAGAACTTTCTTCAATCCTCAGATGAACACAGAGAGTTATTTAGTAAGGGTGGGTGAATGGACTGTTTTCTGATGATGACAGAGTTTGTAAAAAGGAACCGAGAGACTGCAGCGTGGTTCTCCAAGATGCACAGAGGATATGAGTGCGTAAAGCAAAGCTTGTTATCGAGAAAGAGAAAAATCTTTGATGGATGTCTACTTGAGGGTGTCCTCTTAAATGAAATCTCAAACAGCTGTCTGCCAAGCTTACAGCACAACAGTGTGTGGGATGTGGGGTTTCAGCTTCCAGATCTCTCCACTGTGCACACAGTTTGAGTTAAATAGATCCAGGTGGTTTCTATTTAGGAATTTCCGTGTCAAACTTCAGACAGGACCTAGAAGAATGATAAATGTGGAGAACATTCTGAAGTAAACTATGAAATATATTTTTGATCTATTTCATACATCTCTGAAACTTGCGGAAAGGAATCAGGGGCTTCAACTACTACTACTAGGTTGATAGACACATGTGATTTGTCAACAATTTGACTTGTTTTCAACAGCTTCGTAAGGGTATAGTTTATATACAATAGCATTATGCAATAATCACCAAACCCAGTTTGAAAACATTTCCTTCACTCTGAAAGTTCTCTGGTGCCCATTTGTAGTTAATTCCCACTCCAACCCCAGCCTGGGGCAACCACTGATTTCTCTCTATAAATTTGCCTTTTCTGGACATCCCACATAAATGGAATCATAACATATGGAGTGTTTTACATCTGGCATATTTTTGCATATATAAGCACTTTGTTCTTTTTTATTACTACCATATTTTGCTAAGCCATTTACCCGTTGATTCACATTTTGGTTATTTCCAGTCTTTATTTCTTATGAAAAACATTGCTGTGAATATTTGTGGACATTTCATTGTGTGTGCAGGTCTTCATTTCTTGCATACATTTCCAGGGATGGAGTTGCTGGATGATGTAAGTTTAACTTTAAAGGACCAAACTGTCCTACGTGGCAGTCCAATCACATATCCCTTTCTGCACTGTTCAAGGTTTCCAGTACCTCTGCATCCTCACCCAAGCCTGGCATCATCTGTTTAAGGAATGCATATTTATTTATGCGTATCCTTAACTGCTGACAGTGTTGTGTATCTCTTTATGCGTTCTTTTGCCATTTGTATATCTTCCTTAATGAAAAGTCTATTCATAACTTTTGCCCATTTTTATACAGGACTTTTTTTTCTTCTTACTGACTTCTAAGAGATTGTTATATATTCAGGATAAAATCCTTCATCAGTTATACTACTTGCAGATATTTTCTTCCAGGTTGTAGCTTGACTTCTATGTTTTCATTCTTAAACTTTGTTTTGTTTTTAGAGCATTTTAAGATTCACAGCAAAACTGAGTGGCAGGTACAGAGATACTCCCCCGCCACAGGCACACCCCACCCATTCCTCTTTCCCACAAACATAGCCTCCCTCATTACCAATATCCCCAACCAGAGTGGTCCATTTGTCACCACTGATGAGATTATGTTGACATATCATAATCACACAAAGCACATTTTTGTTATGTTTCTGTGTTGGCGTTGTATGTTCTTTGAATATTGACAAATGTAAAATTATGGTACCATCCAGAGTATTTTCACTGCCCTAAAAACTCCATGCTTTCCCTACTTATTTC